TATATACACAAATATATATGTAAGTATGTATGAACTGTATGGGTAATAAAGATCTGCATAAGTTTGTGTTAAATTTCAAGAGCTGATAAGTAATTTAGAGAGTTGTTGTCCCAATAAAAGCAATCCTTTGAGTAAAGACAAAGCCTACTCAGACGCTGAATTCTTATGTGCAGTAGAGTAAGTTCTCAGAAGCCTAAAATAGAGTCCAAAAGTCATAAGGAATAAATAAAATGCTATAAAAGGAGACTTAACTACCTTACTTTGTTATTATATCATATATTAAATATACTTTTAAATAATATTTTGTTAAAATAAAGAATATCCTTTGGAGGGCACCTGGGTGGCTCAGTCGGTTATGTGTCTGACTTCGACTCACGTCATGATCTCACGGTCCGTGAGTTGGAGCCCCGCATCAGGCTCTGTGCTGAATGCTTGCTCAGAGCCTGGAGCCTGCTTCAGATTCTGTGTCCCCTTTTCTCTCTGCCCCTCCCCTGCTCATGCTTTGTCTCACTCTGTTTCTCAAAAATAAATAAATGTAAAAAAATTAAAAAAAAAAGAATATCCTTTGGAACATACTTGTTCAGAGTTTTGTGAATTATGGAAAATATCTTTTTCATGTAATTGTTGAATAGATATGTGCCTTGGCATTTTCCCATAAGGACTTGAGGTGTCCTTCTACAAAGACCATATACTCTAAGGGTAATGAATAGAATAGGAATGGAAAGAATAGGAATCTCCAAATATTTTATTTAAAATCAAACATTGTAGAGGTGCCTGGGTGGCTCAGTGGGTTAAGCGTCTGACTCTTGATCTCCTCTCAGGTCATGATCTCAAGGTTTGTGAATTCAAGCCCCGCATCAGGCTCTGTGCTTACAGCATGGAGCCTGCTTGGGATTCTGTCTCTCCTCGTCTCTGCCCCTCCTCTGCTGTGCACATGCTCTCTCTCTCTCTGTTTCTCCCTCTCTCTCTCTTTCAAAGTAAATAAATAAACTAAAAAAACCCAAAACAAACAAAAAACAACCATTGTAGCCTTGGTTGAACATTACATTTAACTTTAACCTTCTTATAAACTGAAAAATCGAAAACATGGTAAATTATATCGGTTTTCATAATCCAGATGGAGGAAGCATTCTCATTCCTTGGGGTAGATACCGTTTCCGGGCAGAGGCACTTCTTATTGGACGTGCCCTACAGGAGCCACGAATGTAGGAAGCAGGCTAACCATTAGCAGGATTGACATGGAAATCGGAAAGCTAGAAGCCTGGTTCTGAGATAAAGTAGAGCTTGTACTTAGGAAGCAATGTTTTACTTACACCTGACCAAGTGTTTGACTAAGACCCTAGAATTCTGTCACACAGAACGCGACATCATTAGCATGAGGATTCCGTTCAGTCTTCAGAATTGCCAAGTACAGATAGGAATCCTGGTTTGCCCCCTTGTTATCTGTGTGGGCCTGGACACATTTAATCTCTGCAAGCTTCACCTTTCTCATATGTAAGAATGAGAAGTAACAATAAGCTACCTTGTAAAATTGTGGCTAGGATTAAGTATGATCGATGAGCCACGTGAAGTTCTCGGACGGTCCGCGCGCCTCCCCAGGTCTTGAGTGTACATTGACCCCTGCCCTTTCTCTTCACCGTGTCGATGATCATTCTTTCTCTGCTTCAGGGAAAGCACAAATTGCATGTAGATACCGGAATGGAAGGCGACTGGTGTGGCCTTATTCCTGTCGGACAGCCTTGCAATCATGTCACCACAACGGGCCTGAAGTGGAACCTCAGTGAGTAAAACCCTTGCCAAAGGGAGGTTTCCTTTCTTAAGAAGCGTATATAATTCACGGTGAGATAAATACCTCTCTGTCTGGTACACACCTAGCCGTGGAGCTGCTGGCTTCTAGGCAGCTCTGTGTTCAGCCTGCCGGCGAACTGCCAGGCCGTCTTCCCAAGCAGCAGCACCGTTTCGTATTCCTCCCAGCGACGCGTGACGTCTCCTGATTCTCCACATCGTCACCCACACTTGTTATTTTCTTTTTGTTTGGTTTCCACACATCTTCGTGGTTATGAAGTGGTACCGCATTGTGGTTTTGCTTTTTCCCTGATGACTGATGATGCCAAACGGCTTTTCAGGCGCTCAGGGGCCACTTGTATATTTTGGAGTGATGTCTTCAGATCTCATGCTCGTATTTTAATTGCGTTATTTTGGTTTTTTGGTTGAGTTGTAAGATTTCTTTATATATTCCAAATACAAGTCCTTCATCAGATTCATGACTCACAAATATTTTCTCAGAGTCTTTGACTAATCTCTTCAGTGCCTGAAATTTAATTAACTAAATTCATTAATTCTGATGACGTCTGATTTTTTTTTTTTTCCTCTTACGGATTCTACTTCTAGTGCCGAATGTAAGAACTGTTTGCGAAACCTTCTTCATGATTTTGTGTTGTTGAAACCCCCTTTACTTTTCCAGATAAGCAGGAATTCCGACCAAAGTAGTAAATTCTCTTCATAATCAAACCTCTGAGGTTTTGTAAGATTAGCTGCTCTTACTAAGTTTTAAAGTGTTTCCCAGTACTTATTAACTGTAATAAGTCCAAATTATACTGAAGTGTCTGATTTGAAAGGAACAAAAAACGAGGTGTATCTTTTCATGAATTAAAGGCTGATTCCACAATAAACTGTCAGGCTTGTGAAACGAGTCAACTCCAGTCTCTTTAAGAATAACGGCAGTTTAATCAAAGAGCTTTGGTTGAATGTCAAAGGGATTGTCTCCTGATTGACCAGTACCTCTAAGGTTGTAAAAACCAAAATACGGAGCCATGTTCTTTTAGAACACGTATAACTCTTAGGTTCCCACAAGGAAATAAATATTTCAAGAAGTAAATAATTTGAAGATAAAAAGATATTTTAAAAGCCTTTGCTGTGAGCCACTGCTGAAACAATTAGGAAAAACGAGAGATATTTTGAGGCAAATGTCTGGAGAGCTCATCAGAATTTGAAAGGATGGTGAGACAGATCCGCTCTGGTGCAGGGAAATCAGTGACGGGCTTTGAAGCTGTTTAGCTAAAACTGACATGAGTTCCCTTTAGAAACTTTCTGTGAAAACATCTGCATCCTAAACCAATTACACTTTTTAGAGTTCCATTCTTTCCCAGGACCGCGTCTAGATACTGGTGAGGTCCTTCTAGGTCTGGCAGTGAGCTCCCTTTTCAGGGCTGGTTGACGGACACAGAGGGTGACGGTCGATTCTTCCGGGCTCCTGAGAACATCCTGTGACCTGGCTGTCCCACAGTAATAAGCACTCCCTAATTCTGTAAAATGAAGTTGACTCTGGGAAGGGGACCTTGGGCATGACGTGGCTTTTACTCTTTTTATCCATGATAATGTTCCAATCCTGCACAAATGCCCTGTATTATTACTTACTTATATGTGTACGGATGGCACTAACTTTTGAAATAATTATTTTTTCATCTAGAATTTTTATGTAGAATATGGAAATAGCAACCTAATGGAGTATGCAAAACAAGAAAATTGAGACAAAAACCGCTTCATCAATTCTCTGTGGTGAAAATGCTAACTGATGGGGTCTTGTGACAGGTAATATTACTTCATCAAAAAGTAGTAATACCAGCTGGGAAATGACACAGTGTTGACTGGAAGAGCAGTGTCAAGATTTCTGTCACCGAGAGGACAGGGCCTCTGCTTAACTCGGTGTCACTGGGAAAGGTGAGGCCTGAGGTCAGTGTCAACTTGTCGGTCACACCCACGAAGTGACAGTGTGGCCTGGCCGGGGGAAGAGAAAGGAGGTGCAGTAACTCAAGTCAGGTGCTGATCACTTCTTAGGTCAAGGAGAGGACGCAAGTCCTCCTAAGGAAAGCGATCGATGTCTCCCTCATGTGGTCCGGAGACTGGCTCTCTCCCAGGCTTTACCTGCTCTAAAATATGATGTCACAAGTTCTGAAACTCATCCCGATTTCCGTTTCGATTTGCCATATCTCTCATCAGACTCTGTCTTTAAAACAAGTGTGAAAGATGCCTTTGTACCAGTCACCTAGAAGTGAAACTTAACTGTCTCTGAAGTTGCCTGTCTGTAGGACAGTGTTTTATTTCCTCGCAGTGTGCTGGGAACATTGTGGAACATGGTTCTGGGACCAGAGTTTTCTCTAGGCTGTGCACGCTCAGGAGTAAAACAGCTGCATCCTGGACCTGAGTGCCTTCACTTTTCCTAAGTGTTCCACACTGCTCTGACAGTGACAGTGGGAAAGCCACCGTGAGCTCATCAGGAGAACGCAAGGGTTCCCACACTCTGGATCCTCACGCGATTCTCGATATTGTCACATTTCAGCATTTTTGCCAGTCTGATGCGTGTCGGTGATATTTCATTACGGTCTCTGGTTACCGCTGAGGGAAAGCATCTTTCTGTAGTTCCTCCTGGCTTTTTCATCTTCATAAATGTTAGCATTAGCTTGACAGTGTCACGTACACACAATCCCATTGTATGTTTTATTGGAATCATTTTTCATGTGTAGATTAATTGCGAGAAAACAACAATTGGGGAAGAAAAGTCCTATGTGTAATTGAGTCATCCTATCCATAAACATATCTCTCTTTTAGAACTTTTGAATTGCTTTCAATAAGTTAAAAATTTGTCCATAAAATCCTGTACATCTCCTATAAGATTTATTTCTAGGAACCACATATTTTGTGTTGCTATTGTAAATTATACCTTTTAAAAAATTAAATTTCTGAGTTCCTTGGTAGTACATAGACATACAATTGACTTTTAGTATATTGTTATCAATTTATTGCTGAATGCTTTTATTGTTTTTAAAAAATGTGAGTATAGATTCACTAAGGTTTTCTATAGACAGTCATTAAAAAATTTTTTTAATGTTTATTATTTTTGAGAGACAGGCATAGACAGAGCGGGGGGAGGGGCTGAGAGACAGACAGAGACGCAGAATCCAAAGCAGGCTCCAGGCTCTGAGCTGTCAGCACATAGGCCTTGAACTTATGAACCTTGAGATCATGACCTGAGCCAAAGCTGGGACGCTTAACCAACTGAGCCACCCAGGCTCCCCTGGACAGTCATATTTTGGGTGGTAATGAAGTTTTCTTTCTTCTTTGCTCTGTAAGAAATAAGAATGTGTTCAGTTCTGACTGGCTGAAATAGTAGCTTTAAAAAGGCCTATTCCTTTCCCCCCATGTAACAAAGTCCAGAGCCAAGCAGTTACAGGGCATGGCTTCTGTGGTTTCCTCAGCCTTTGCCTCCAGATCCTAAGGTGTCTGTTGTAGCTTCAGCCGCTGTGGTCCCTCGTCAGCCTCAGGAGAGAGGGAAGGGAAGACAGGAGGATGGGCTGGCACACATGGCAAGAAAACAAGGCTTCAGGGATTCCACCATTTCCAGAAGTTCTTCCTGCATCCAATCTTTTGCCTCAATGGCCAGAAATATCAAACGGCCACCCTAGCTGCAAAAGAGGCTGGGATGTACAGGTTTGCCTCTATAAACATAGGGATCCCGAGTGAAACCACGGTTCTGTCAGTGAGGAAGAAGAGAGAATGCGTGGGAGTCTGCTCTTCTGTCAAAAAAAATGTCTTCTCTTCGTCTGCCATCTTGATGAACAGTTTAGCTATTCATATAATAAAATCTTATTTTCACTTTCTTTGGGCCATACTCTTATGGGTTTCTCTTACTGAGACTGATGAATCCACAGTTAAGCAAACTGATTCTCATTCGTATATAATGTTCTTAGCTCTGTCCTTTGGACCTTATGTTTTTCTTTGACGTCCTACAGTTTTACCACCACATGTGTAAGTGTGACCTGTCTTTGGTTCTAGTGAATTTTCCCCAGCTCTGATAATTGGTTCATGGACTATGAAAATTTTTCAAATGTCCCCATTTTTCAGATAAGGACATGGTAGTTCCAAGCTCTAGGCAGCGATTTGCCCAAATTCACATCATTAGGGATGGATGCACTAAAAATTTGAAATCCGGTCACGTATGCTATTTCTCCTTGCTTCCAGTTAGTATATGTAAGACTCCATATAAGATAAGTCGATGTTAAAAAGAAAGCACTAGAACGAATTTGGGATAAAGAGAAGAAAACCAGAGGAAGGCACATGTACAGGGGAAGGCAGGAGGTAGGAGCAAGAAATGGAAAGGATTAAGAAGAATTTTAATTCTCCAGGACAGACCTTTTAACCCCTCTACACTTTGGCCCAAGAAAATATCAAATGGAATTGCCCTCCATTCGCCCAGGCCTCTTGTTTATAACACTCACAGATTGTGAAATTATGCCGTCATGGTTCCTTCTTGTATATGTTTTTTCAAAGTATGGAAATAAATGGCCGAATGAAATAATTTCATAGCACTGACTGAAAGAGATGAGAATCTAACCCTAGTGAAATATTTTTGAAAGAAAAAAAGTAAGAGAACCCCATTTGAAAAGATTTTTCACGCGGTAATGATGGAGTTTCAGTGAGAAACACCCTTAATTCTCACCCCATTTTGACTCAGAGTGATTCCCCTCAGTTAGGATCACAAGTCTGGCATGCAGGAGAGAGGTCTGTGCTAGAGAGGGAAGTTTGGGGGTTGTTAACACAGAGGTCCGGCTGTGAGTCAGTGCCACTAACATGTGAAGTGTTTTATGTTTTTTGGTGTCTTTGTTATTAACTATTGCTTTTCCAATCTGGTGCTTAAAAAAGGGCACCCTGAAACTGGGACTTCAGTGTTTCCTATCTGATTCAAGGACAGTATCTTTCATATCTTATTAATTCTTTGATAACCAGTGACCTACTTTGAATTGAAGATACTGTTAAAATTTTTACATAAAACATGTGCATTAGAGAGCAAACATGATAATAAGGATGGCTTTTTTTTTTGCCTCAGTTCCCACCCACCCCCCCCCACCCCGCCACAAGGAAGCTGTTAGTGAAAGTTTTCCACTCCCAAACCATTTTCTTAAGTGTACAAATAGGTGAAATGACTGTATTTCATCACATTTAAGATGCCATCAATTGTGGGATGCATTATTATTTTCTGTTCACTAAGGAAAAAAATACTAATTATAACTGCAGAGATGAGGGGGAAATGTACATGTTAGAACTGATAAAATATGGCAGATCAAATAGCATAGAACTTGATTATCAAATTATATGCATAGACATAATTTGTTTATATAATTTGTTTAATTTATTGACTTCTAAGATGTCAGCTAGGATTCTGATTAGGATTGTGTTGATTCGGCGGATCAGTTTGAGAAGTAAATCCATTTTATAATAATGTTAAGTCCTCCAATCCATGAACCTAGGGTACTTTCATGTAGATCTTTAATTTCTTTCAACAAAGTCTTGCTGTTTTCTTCCTGCAAGTTTTGTACTTATTAAATTTATTACCAAACATTGTATTGTTTTAATCCTATAGTGGATGAAATTCTCTTCTTAATTTCATTTTTGGATCGTTGGGTACAAGTTATAGAAAGACAGTTGATTTTTTGTATCAATTGACCTTGTGTAAACTTGCCGAACTCATTTATGAGTACTCATGGTATCTTAGAGGATTTCTTAGGATGTTCTATGTATCCAAACATGTCCTCTATAAATAGAGGTAATTTTACTTCTTTTCTCATTTGGATTCTTTTATTTCCTGTCCTTGTCAAGTTGTTTTAGCTAGAACCGATGGTACAATATTAACTATTCAGATAATACTGATAGCAGCAAAGTGGACCTCCTTGTCCTGATCTTGATCTTAGGTGGGAAGCATCCAGTCTTTCACCATACATATGACACCAACCATTGGTTTTTGATAGATGTCTTGTATCAGATTGAGGAAATTTTATTCTGTTCGTAGTTTGTTGAGTGTTTTTATCATGAAATAGTGTGGGCTGTGCTTGTTTAAATCTTGTCTGTTGAGATGATTATGTGATTTTTGTGTTTAATTCTATTGATATATTACATTAACTGGATTATGGATATGAAACCAAACTTGCATTCTTGGGAATCAATCTCACTGGGTCATGACTTGTAATTCTTTTTATATACTGTTGGTTCACAGTTTTCTTTTTTTGTTGATGATTTTTGCATCCATAAACTAAAATACATTGTTTTGTGGATTTTTTTTTCTTGTGATGTCTTTGACTTGTTTTGGTATCAGGATAATACTAACATCTACCCTTTTTTTTTTTTCATTTTGCCATTTGTTTTCTTTTTCATTATTCAAGTACAGTTTTCTTTTTTCTTTTTTAAATTTAAATCCAAGTTAGTTAACATACAGCGTAAAAATTTCAGGATTAAATTTAGTGATTTGTCACTTACATTTAACATGCAGTGCTCATCCCAACAAGTGTCCTTTTTGTTTTAATTTTTAACGTTTATTTATTTTTGAGAGACAGACATAGAACATGAGTGGGGGAGGGGCAGAGAGAGGGAGACAGAATCCAAAGCAGGCTCTAGGTTCTGAGCTGTCAGCACAGAGCCTGACGCGAGGCTCAAACCCATGAAGCGTAAGATCATGACCTGAGCCGAAGTCGGACGCTCAACCAAATAAGCCACCCAGGCGCCCCAACAAGTGTCCTTCTTGCTGTCCCTTGCCCATTTAGCCCATCCCCCCTCCCACAACCCCTCCAGCAACCCTCTGTTTGTTCTCTATATTTAACAGTACCTTATGTTGTTCCCCCTCCCTGTTTTTATCATATTTTTGCTTCCCTTCCCTTATGTTCGTCTGTTTTGTATCTTAGTGAAATCATAGGGTGTTTGTCTTTCTGTGACTGACTTATTTTGCTTAGCATAATACACTCTGGTTCCATCCACAATGTTGCAAATGGCAAGATTTCATTCTTTTTAATCGCTAATATTCCATTGTATGTATATACCACATCTTCTTTAGACATTCTTTAGTTGATGGCCATTTGGGCTCTTTCCATACTTTGGCTATTGTTGATAGTGCTGCTATAAACATTGGGGTGCTTGTGCCCCTTCAAAACAGCACTCCTGTATCCTTTGGATAAATACCTACTAGTGCAATTGCTGGGTCATAGGGTAGTTCCATTTTTAATTTTTTGAGGAACCTCCATATGTTTTCCAGAGTGGCTGTACCAGCTTGCTTCCCACCAGCAATGCAAAAGAGATCCTCTTTCTCTGCATCCTCACCAACATCTGTTGTTGCCTGAGTTGTTAATGTTAGCCATTCTGACAGGTGTGAGGTGGTATCTCATCATGGTTTTGATTTGTATTTCCCTGATGATGAGTGATGTTGAGCATTTTTTCATGTGTCTGTTAGCCATCTGGATGTCTTCTTTGGAAAAGTGTCTGTTCATGTCTTTTGCCCATTTCTTCACTGGATTATTTGTTTTTTGGGTGTTGACTTTGGTAAATTCTTTATAGATTTTGGATACTAAGTCTTTATCTGATATGTCGTTTGCAAATATCTTCTCCCATTCCATCGTTGACTTTTAGTTTTGTTGACTGTTTCCTTCTCCGTGCAGGAACTTTTTATCTTGAGGTCCCAATAGTTTCTTTTCGCTTTTGTTTCCCTTACCTCTGGAGACATATCACGTGAGAAGTTGCTGAGGTTGAGGTCAGAGAGGTTGTTACCTGTTTTCTCCTCTAGGATTTTGATGACTTCCTGTCTTGTATTTAGGTCTTTCATCCATCTTGAGTTTATTTTTGGTATGGTGTAAGAAAGTGGTCCAGGTTCATCCTTCTGTACTGACAGATACTCTTAAAATCCAGGCATTCAAGAGGGAAACACTAGGGGAGTCAACCAGGGCAACAAAGGCAAGACAAAAGGAAAGTAGGTCTAGTAGGCAGGATGCAGATTTGGGGAGGACACAGCATAGAGGGGGCTCTGGTTGCAGGAGATAACCTGGCCTGTGTTCTGATCCTTTGCCTTCTTTTATTTGTGTGCTCACTGCCACAAAGAGGGGAGGGGGGAGAGGAGGAGACCTACAGAGCCATCTTGTTTCTAATTAATAAACAGCAGTGGCTGGCTGGCCTTTCTAAGGAGTATAGACCACTGAACATTGAGGCAAGCACAACTTTATGGGGAAGAAGTTGCATTTACATGAAAATTATGTATTAAAAAAAGTTATTTTAAAAACCACTTATCTCTGTAGTAGAGCCTAAAGTCTGG